CGAGGCAAGTGGAGTTTGGCATCGATTTGGTTCCGGGGGCCGCACCTATTGCTAAGGTGCCGTATCGCCTTGCGCCTCCAGAGATGCAGGAGTTATCCTCGCAACTTCAGGAGTTGCTGGGGAAGGGGTTTATTCGGCCGAGTAGCTCGCCATGGGGAGCACCCATCTTGTTTGTGAAGAAGAAGGATGGCTCGCATCGCATGTGTATTGATTACCGGGAATTGAATAAGCTGACGGTCAAGAACCGTTACCCGCTGCCGAGGATCGACGATTTATTCGATCAGCTACAGGGAGCATCTTGGTTCTCCAAGATTGATTTGAGGTCGGGCTATCATCAGGTGAGAGTGCGGGACGAGGACGTCCAGAAGACAGCATTCAGGACACGTTATGGGCATTATGAGTTTGTGGTGATGCCTTTCGGGCTCACTAATGCCCCGGCTGTGTTCATGGACCTCATGAACAGGGTATGTCGGCCGATGTTGGATCGGTCGGTGATTGTTTTCATTGATGATATTCTGGTATATTCGAGATCTAGTGAGCAGCACGAGGAGCATCTGAGGGAGGTGCTTGGGGTTTTGAGAGCGGAGAAGCTTTACGCAAAGTTCTCCAAGTGCGATTTCTGGTTACGGGAGGTCCAGTTTCTGGGACATCTCGTTAACCAGAAGGGGATATTGGTCGATCCGGCCAAGGTTGACGCAGTGATGAGGTGGGAGGTGCCGAGGTCACCTTCTGAGATACGGAGTTTTCTCGGGTTGGCAGGGTATTATCGGAGATTTATTAAGGATTTCTCCAAGATTGCGGTTCCACTCACCAGATTGACCCGGAAGGGCGTGGCATTTGCATGGGGTCCCGAGCAGCAGACCTCCTTTGAGACGCTTCGCCAAAGGTTGTGTGAAGCTCCAGTATTAGCCCTTCCGGAAGGCATGGAAGGTTTTGTGGTATTCTGTGATGCGTCGATCCTAGGATTGGGAGCGGTATTGATGCAGAAGGGTCATGTGATAGCTTATGCATCAAGGCAGTTGAAGCCTCACGAGACGAGGTACCCCACTCATGATTTGGAATTGGGGGCAGTGGTGTTCGCCCTCAAGATTTGGCGGCACTACTTGTATGGGGTTCGATGTACGATTTACACGGACCATAAGAGTTTGAAGTACTTGATGGATCAGCCTAACCTAAATATGCGGCAGAGGAGATGGTTAGATGTGGTCAAGGACTATGATTGTGAGATCTTGTACCACCCGGGCAAGGCTAATGTGGTAGCCGACGCGTTGAGCCGCAGGGCGGAGAGCACTCCCCTGCGAGATGTATGTTTGAGATTGACCGTGATAGCTCCAGTTCTGGACGCCATTCGTGGGGCTCAGGCCGAGGCCGTGCGTCCGGAGATGCAGAAGAGAGAGCGGGTTGCTGGGTTGGTTTCTGAGTTTGTATCGGATGGTCGAGGCCTTATGACTTATCAGGGCAGGATCTGGGTACCGTTTGTGGGCGGTACACGTGCTACATTGATGGAGGAGGCTCATAGATCGAAATTTTCGATCCACCCCGGGGCCACGAAGATGTATTTGGACCTAAGGAAGGAGTATTGGTGGCCCTGTATGAAGAGGGATGTAGCATGGTTTGTCGAGAGGTGTTTGACCTGTCGAAGGGTAAAGGCCGAACACCAGAGACCGCATGGCAAGTTGCAGCCATTGGAGGTTCCCGAGTGGAAGTGGGAACAGATCACTATGGACTTTATCACCAAATTGCCGAGGACTGCCAGAGGAGTTGATGCAATTTGGGTGATCGTGGATAGGTTGACAAAGAGCGCTCACTTTCTTGCCATCAGTGAGAGTTCTTCAGCGGAGAAGTTGGCGGAGGTTTACGTGAGGGAGGTTGTATCTCGGCATGGGGTGCCGATCTCGATTGTTTCAGACCGCGATGTGCGGTTCACTTCCCGTTTTTGGAAGAAATTTCATGAGGAGTTGGGTACTAAGCTGCATTTTAGTACCGCATACCACCCCCAGACCGACGGTCAGAGTGAGCGGACGATACAGACACTCGAGGACATGCTTCGAGCTTGTGTTCTGGACTTTGGGGGTAGTTGGGACACGTATTTGCCTTTGGCGGAGTTTTCCTACAATAACAGCTATCATTCGAGCATTGGTATGCCACCTTTTGAGCTGTTATATGGTAGGAGGTGTCGGACTCCCATATGTTGGGGAGAGGTTGGGCAAAGGGTAATGGGCAGTACAGAGATCGTGAATCAGACGTCAGAGCAGATACAGCTGGTCAGGCAGAGGTTATTGACCGCTCAGAGCCGACAGAAGAGTTACGCGGATAGACGCCGGTCCAAGCTGGAATTTCAGGTCGGCGACTTTGTTCTCCTGAAGGTCTCTCCTTGGAAAGGAGTGATCCGGTTCAGGAAGAGGGGCAAATTGGGGCCCCGGTTTATAGGCCCGTTTCGTGTGATTGCCAGGGTAGGCCGGGTAGCCTATCGACTGGAGTTGCCAGCAGAGTTGGGGCAGATTCACAACACTTTTCATGTATCGCAGTTGAGGAAATGTATAGCCGATGAGTCGGCAGTGGTTCCACTTGAGGATATTCAGGTTGATGCGAGCCTGAATTATGCGGAGAGACCAGTGGCTATTAGGGATCGGAAGATCAAGGTTTTGAGGAACAAGGAGGTACCTCTGGTACTGGTTCAGTGGCAACATCGGAAGGGATCAGAGATGACCTGGGAGCCGGAGGATATGATGCGGGAGCAGCATCCGGAGCTGTTTTAGAGCGAGACTTCGAGGGCGAAGTCCAGTTCTAGTGGGGGAGAATTGTAACATCCGGATTTTTACCAGGTATAATGTAAGTTTAATTGTGTTGTTTTGTAAGAGGGACTCGGCGAGTCAGGGCTCAGACTCGCCGAGTAGGGACGCGGGTTTGAGCGAAGGTGCGCGCTTGGACTCGGCGAGTCCAGGGCATGGACTCGGCGAGTCTGCGCTGTGTTAAGAAACCCTAAATCCCCGGGTTTGTGGCCTATTTAAGGGGCCTTATGGCCGTCATTTGCGCTCATCCAACCCCCAGAGTGTGTCCCTAGAGTTCTTGAGCGTTTGGTGAAGGATTGAGAGCAAATCTTGACCTTGTGAGTGTTGTTTAGCAAGAAGAAGGAGGCTCTAGGCAAAAGGAGGCAAAGGAGGTTGCCATTTCGTGGATTTGGAGCTTGGATCATCACTTTAGAGGTAATATTTCGGACCATTTCCTGTTTGGTGAACTTGATGCAAGTTAGGGTTAAATATGATCATTTATGGGGTGATTTGGTGCCCTTTTGTTCCCTCTTTGAGTTGAGACCATGGATCTGGATCCATAGAGGTCCAGGGGGCCTCACTCATCAAGCTTTATGGGTAAAAATGGAGTCCTTGGCCTTGTGTTGAAGTAATAGAGTCAAAATCATCATTTGTGATCATGTAGAGGTTATTCATGCATCAAGACTGGGACTTTACGTGCTAAGTAAGCATGGGGGGACTGGATCTATGGATTAGTGGACTGGATCTGGCCTTTAGAGCAAGATTGAGTTAGTGCATGGCATGGACTCGCCGAGTCCGAAGAACAGACTCGGCGAGTAGCTTGAATGTTACACGACCACTCAGCGAGTGGCCTCGCCGAGTTGGGATGAGTGAACCCAGTGGGTCAAGGGGGAGTCAGGATGGACAGGTGGACCGAGTCAAACCGGACTCGCCGAGTCGTTCTGGAGACTCGGCGAGTTGAGTCGTGGTGGCCCCACAACTCGTGCCAGGTGGAGCTCGTCGAGTTGGGAAGGGATGCTCGACGTGTCAAGAGAGAGTTTCAGGGAAATTGGTGATTTCGCTCAGACTCGCCGAGTCGCTATAGTGCACTCGCCGAGTCCGGTCAAGTTGACCGTTGACCAGCGTTGACCTAGATTGTCCTGTTATGGTATGGTTAACCCTAGTTGGGAAAGTGTTAATTAGAGATATATTGTGCTATAGGGGGACTTCAGCTCGGCAGATCGAGTGTTTAGCAATTTCAGGGTTACGGTTTACCGAGACACACGAGGTGAGTCTTCTCACTATACTTTACCTTGAGTAGGTAACCAGAGTTATGTGATAGAATATTTGTATGCGATGTATGTTATGTGTTGTACTGCATTACTTTTATGTGTTTGATGCTGTGCATGTTTACAGAGCTAGAACCGGAAGGTTCACAGAGTTAGAACCTGAGGGTTCACAGAGTTGGGTGCACGGACCCACAGAGTTATAGCCTCGAGTGGCTAATATGTGTTACATGTAGTATTTTGGGAAACTCACTAAGCCTTGTGCTTACAGTGTTGATGTTATTGTTTCAGGTACTAGTGACGACCGTGGGAAGGCGCCGGCTTGATCCGTACACACACGTTTGGAGCTTGACATTTTGATCTTGGGATTTTGCAATGTATTGTTGAACAATTTAAAAGGGGTTGTTTTTATGAATATTGATGGAACTATGTTTTTATAAAATCGAAAATTTTGTTTGAAAAATTGAGTGTTACACTTCCTGGTAGCCTTCTCCTTTTGGGGGGCAATGGGCTGATGTAGTCTACATGAGGCCACATGTCACTACCATTTAGTGGGTTAATGGTATTCCTGTAACAGTTTAGGTACATTGATGTGGTAAACCATGGTGACACATACTCCTGTACATCCCTGTTGAGGCTTGCAATGCAAGCATACCCATGCACACAAGGGTAACCTGTTAACTGCCAAGTTCTGCAGGCACATGTCCTACTACCAATATCCACAACATATGCATCATACCCAAGTCTGACTTCATACTGTTGATAACCAGATGGTATTACTTTCCAAAACCTATCCATATACACATGTTTAAAGACAAACATATATAAGGACAAACATGTTTAAAGACAAACATATATAAGGACAAACAGTTTTAAGCACTTACCTTTGAAGATCCTTAAGCTTGGACAACTTCAGCCTAATGGTAGGACATATGGTTAAATCCCAAGATTGCCCCTTAATCTTCTATCTATAAAGCCTCTCCATCACATAAATTCGAATTTCTTCTAACATGGTGATTAGTGGTCTCTTCCTAGCAACTTCAATCACAGAGTTGAAACTCTCAGAGATACCATTTTCATATGCATCATAAGCCCTATCAGTCTGAAAAAATGCTTTACTCCAAGTTTTAGGGTCCCTTTCCATCAAATGGTCATAAGCTAGTGGCTCTAATTTCTTGATTTCATTCATGTGTTGTTCAAATTTTGCAGGGGTAGTAGCTGCAGCAGCATACCAGAAAAGCTTTCTAAACACTTGGCCCTTAAACCTTTTCAGGATGTTAGCACATATGTGCCTAGCACATTGCCTATGCTCTGCTGCTGGGACCCTTTCCTTCACAGCCTCAAGTAATCCCTGTTAGCAATAGACACAAAATTTAAACAACAAAAACATAACATAAGCTAAAATAAAGATGAAAATAATAAAAATTGATTACTTTGTGTTGGTCTGATATCAAGGTTAGTCCATGCCCAACTCCCATTCCAAGGTCCTCAATTAGAAGGTTAATAAACCACTTCCATGTTTCTTTACTTTCCACTGATACAACAGCCCAAGCAATGGGATATATATGGTTATTTGCATCTCTACCTATAGCAGAGAGCAACTGACCTCTGCATATGCCCTTTAGGAAGCAACCATCTAGTCCAATTACCCTCCTACAACCTTCAATCCATCCATCCTTCAATCCCTTGAAACATACATAAAACTTTGAGAAATATGTGGTTCCATCAGGCATGACATCTACATCCATCTTCACTGTTGATCCAGGGTTAGTCCTTCTTATCTCTTCTCCATAGCTCCATGTTTTTGCATAATGCTCTTTCAAAGTACCCTCTATCTCCTGAAATGCATACTTCCTTGCATTTCTGCATTGACCAACACTTGCAATCAAATTAAATTTCTTGCTGACCTTAGCTTTCAACTTCCTTATACTCATCTTTGGTTTCTGAAGTATATGATTCATGAAATGCTTTGCTATCCATTTATAGGTAAAATGGACCCAAATTTGAACACTCTTGCACAATTATGCATATCATTCAGAGATTTAATCTGGAATGATTTTTCACTGCTCATCCAGGTTGCCCATAATCTAAAAGGACAACCTTTACCCTGTTTATTTGTCTTACCTTTACAACATTTTACCAATAACCTTTCATGATCACTTTTCTCATACATAAATCATATCCATTTTTGACTGCATAGTTGGTGATACACAACTTCAATTCCAATGGATTAGAAAACTTCATACCCAAAACTGGCACCATTTGCTCCCATTCTTGATTCTCATTATGGACAGGGAACACAACATCCTTAAGTTTCCCATTGTTTGCTTCCTCTTCATCATCATCACTAATATGCCCTGAAAGTTTGTCCAAGAATGGGTCTCTAACAGTTTTATCAAAAGTATGTTCATCTTCATCATCCCATTCATGTTCATATTCCATTTTCATTGAAACTTCAGAATCCTTGTCATCCTCTTCATCCAACTCATCCAACTCATACCCTTTACCATCTTCTAAGAACTCGTTATCAGCCCAATCAAGAATTGGTTCATTTCGGTGGTCAATGTACACATCTAACTCACTCTCAAGACTATCACTCTCCAGACTATAAACAGTCTCCACAAACTCCCAATAATCAGCATCACTGTCGATTCTTCTAATACCCTCACACAAGCTTTCCTTTCTCATACAGTAGTAGACATTATCACATTCTCCATTTGTTAATTTCGTAAGCCACAAAAGAAACTCTTTATACGTAAATCCCCCAAAATCCACATCACGTACATTTGTTTTTACGGGGTCTAAGTACACCAATGGGTTTGGCGAAAAGAATCCATTGTAATGAAAATCTACAGATACATACATACCTGTAGATGAGGATGCCATGCTAGTAGTCGACTTCAATTCCAACTTCAATTCCAAGACCTAATCGTCGATTTGATGTATCGATTGATTTCTCACAGAAGAAGGTAATCGAGGTGTGTTAGCTGACGATGACGAACCCTAATTAAATGAGAAAGGGGTGTAATGGCCACGTAAGATTCCACGTAATGTTTTAAACCGAGCTAAATCAATGTTACCGGCTAAAACAGGTAATAGCCGGTAATGTTGGTTATTATTGAACGGCTGAAACAAGTTTGTTGGGTAAATGAGTACAAAAAAAACAATATTACCCATATGTGAACATTTGAAATACTTAATTACCTTAGTAAGTCAAATTCCCTATATAATATTAATAATAATCTTGTTTTTTTTTTTTGAACCCACAAATAGAGGGTAACCCGACCGGATGGATCAGAAATGTTTGGCGGGCCACCAAGAGGGGCACCACTCACCACCAAAGAGAACGAAGAATCGAATAGAGGGTAACCTGACCCGATGGATAAGAATAGATTTCCATGCCAAGCCGTTCAATTTCCCCGGTACAAGTATGTTCCATTCCCAAGATGAGGGCGATTTGGGCAAGGCTTTTTTATTGATGTAATGGCGCTATGAGGCTACTGAGTACTTTTTAGAAAGATCTGTAGTCCATTGTCATTCACTAGATCCATGTTGATCAATTTGAAAAAAGTCATGGAATTGGAGATCATCTTTAACGAGCATTTATGGGAGATTTGCAATATTACACCAACAGTTTCCACGTCTGACTGCTCTTGCAACATTTGTAAATCCCCCATATGAACCATATATGGATTTAATTACTTCCAGTCATGTACAACTGTTCGATGTTCTAAATCTCCACCACCATTTCACTAGTAGAGCTTGATTTTGAGCTTTTAAGCTGCCTATACCGAGTCCTCCATGTTCAACGCCCGAAAGCACGTACTTTATCCCAAGCAATCCATGCCATTTTTCTTTTTTCTAAGTGACCACCCCAAAAGAACCGCATTCTAATTTTCTCTAGGTTTTTTATGACACATACGTACAGGAGCTTTGTATAGTGAGAAGAAGAGTGTCCCTAGACTTCCCAAGACAACTTTACATAGGATGAGATGCCCACCAAATGATAGATTCGTTGCTTTCCATCTTGATAGTTTGGATCGGAACTTGTCAATTATCGGATTCCAATGTACGGCCCTGGACATAGAAGCACCCACCGGCAGCCCTAGGTAAGTAAATAGGAGTTTTCCCCATCGAACAACAACAGTTTCTAGCAAAAGATTCTATTTTTGTGTTTCGGACAGAAATTCCAAAGAATTTGCTTTTAGACATGTTTACCTTCAAACCTGAAGAGAACTCAAAGCATCTAAGAATTCTTATCAAGTTTCTGGCATTGCCAATTGACCAAGAACCAAGGAAAATCACATCGTCGGCATACTGTAGATGCGATATAGTTGGGCCATTATTTGGGAGTTTAATGCCTCGAAAGATATTTTTGTTGAAAGCTTTCTTCTTGTGATCTGACACAGTTGAAGTCTCCAAAAACAAACCACCTAGAATTCGGGTCTGAACCAATTAGATTTTCCAAGGTGGACCAACAATTCTTTTTTTTTTTTTTTTCTTTGTGGTTGTTGGGGGGCATAAACGTTTGCAAACCAACAAGTGCTATTAGTGGGCAGCCAGGTACCATAGAAAGTTAGTGTTTTTGATAATGTCTAGGGTCTTAATGAAACAGGGGTTCCAGATAGAGAGGATGCAACCAGATAAACCAATAAGGTCAACGACTTCACTTAAAAAGTTACAGGAGCCCCATACAGCCTTATCCAATTTTTATTTGACTTCAGATTATTTTGTTTCCTGAATAGCTAAGAAAACCACATGATTTTGTTGTTTTAAATCTTTCACCCAGTTTCTTTTCACCTCACACCCTATACCACGAATATTGAGAGATAGAATATTCATTGATCACTTATAATCACACCTCGTCTTTTGATCAAGTTTCTAAATTGATCTTCGCATCCTCTTACTTGGAATTCAATTCTATCGCCTACATTTATAGTTTCAGCAATTTCAGTAGTGGTGTTTTCAGATGCAGCACCAATGTTCACCGATACTTCAAGATTGGTAGGGTTAGGATCATTTTCATTTGTGGCAGATGTATGAGAAGGGTCTGTGGTGTAGATGTGTTCGGGGTTTTGGGTTATGGCATGGCAGAGATTTATGGGAGATGGGTCCAAAATATGGCCATTTCACGTATTACTAGTTATATAATATAATTGGTTTTGTGATCAGTTTTCTTTTAATATGTATCTTAACAATAACTCTTAACAATAACTTTTCTCACATTTCCTCTTCTTGTACGCTAGCTGTGAAACTAGGATTTCAAAAGGGCTAAGAAGACACCTTAGACACCCTATAATCATTTTTATAAAAAGTCAACCTATAATCAACTTCTTCTAATCATTTTTTTTCGGAAAACAATGCAATTTCAACCAATAAAAATATTTCAAAAATTAATTAGGGTTGTCTAAATGGTAAAATAGGGTGTCTTATTAACCAACCCCTTTCAATAGACATCGTAGCATGAAATATCTCTTAAGTATTTTATACTTTGACTCTTATATTGTTAATCTAGGTTGTTTTATTCAATATTAGGTGTCATTCATACAGGGTGAACGATTTGTTGTCATTCTTCAAAAAATTTGTTTTAGTTATAATGTATTATATTCTTTTATATTATAAAAAAAAACATGCTTTTCATGATTTGAACCATATATGGGAAATCGATACAAATAAATATTCAAAAGAATATATATTTTCCTGTTTTAGATTTAATTGTGTAATAGAAAAGTTTGTAATACATTTAGCTTAGACTAGACAAGGGCACTGCCTTTAACATATTCAGTGAAAGCCAAAGCCACCAGACCCAACATCGCAACCCGTCCATTCCAAAGCTCTGCATCTGACGTCATCAGTCCACTCGACTTCGACTGCACACTCACTCCTTTAAACAACGGCACCAACGACGCTAACGTCAACACCACGCTAGTGCCGACAAACACCGCCACTCCGCCATTGCCGATCTGGGCAAACACGTCTTGACCGCTGCTCACTTCTACAGCCATCGCCGACACAAACCCGATCATCGCCAACCTTCCGTTGATCCTCTCCGGTGCCGGTCCGCTGAATGCCAATACGTCAGAGAACTTCGAGCTGACCTTCGGTGCAGGCGGTGGAGGAGGAAGAGTGGTCATATTTGGTGTGGTTGCTTGTTTGGAACTCTCGGTTTCACCATTTTGTGGTCTCTGTGCCATGCACCTGATGGAGAATGTGGGATTTCTCTTGAAAACTGTGATGGGGGCTACCATGAATATTGAAGAAGCAGCCATGTCGGAAAAAGATATATGAAGTTTTGAGGGAGGAGAGAAGGTGGTAGTAGTACTGGTGGTGGTGGTGGTTGAAGTGGAGGATGAGGGTTTGAGGTGGTGGGTTTTATAGGGTTGGGTGAACTGGTGAAGACAAAGGAGAGTGGATGCTTAAAGGAGCCACGTTAAGAGACTTCACGTGGCTTTCGAAATTGCCAATGAGGGTGGTTGTGGTTAAAAAGCCTCTACATCGACACTTATTTCACTAATCGTGTGTGGTGGGGTATGTCGACAAATTAAGGATTTTTGGGTGAACCTTTTTGGGTCCTCCGTCACTAAGTCGGATTTTACATAAGCTCCTTTGTTGTTAGATGGGACAAAATACAAGCATCCCATGGACTAGAATACAAAAATTAGTGATAATACTATAATGTTACAAATGGTTTAGAAAACATTCTAAGGGGTATCTAATTGGTCTCATAATATACGCCACTTTCCAAGTCATTATAAAAGATTGTTTTATTACCTAAAAACACCCCTTCCAAGTTCTTTTAAAAAATAGGTTTTTAGAAAAATAGGTTTTTTAGTTGAACCCGTTTTATGATTAGTTCGATTCAACCGATTCAATCCAATTTTTCTAAATTTATAATTATTTATTATTTCTTATATATATATATATATATATATATATATATATATATATATATATATATATATATATATATATATATATAAAAACCAAAAATCTGACATCCATAAACGTAAATCATTCTATAGTGAACTTATATTATAAAACCATAGACATAACAACTGATAAGTATTGGTCTACATGTTGTTCATACCGTTGTCTAGTGTGCGTCAAAGACGTGCCCAATAGTGTTGTGCGTCATCAAACTTCGAGTTATGTACATTCTAGATAATTTGATTAATCAAGATGTTTAATTTGTTTGAAAATTTGTTGTTTTTAACGGACCCAATTAAAATAAATTATCCAAGTCCAATAAACCATATATATCACACCGATTCAACCTAGTGTTGGTAGAATATGTCCGATTTGAACTGGTCTAGGAATTAACATAAACTTTCGTTATTGAGTTGCTCTCATCTCCGGTCCCGGTCCTATTGGTCAAACATAATGAATCATACACAATACTATATGTTCCAGTCTTAAGGCCTCGCCTATCATGGTCCCCGCCCTTACTATGCTAATGATGAGATATGGAACCCCGTCCACACTCAGCTAGTGATGAGATACGGGACCCCGACCACACTCACCTCCCTACCAAGCACATAAAAGTATCACGAAGACAACAAGTATAACTAAACATGAATATATTCATCGGGAACCTGAATGACTTGCTTCCTTAATTGCATCAATGTATTCTTTGTCGTCATCTAAAAGGCCCAAAGCATAACATGCATCTCGAAAAGCAGGAAATTCTTCACCATTTACAGTACGAATTTCTTCAAATGATTTTGGACCTTTCACTTTATTTAAAAGAATCCGTAAGAAGTAGACTTCGCTAAGTTTAGGTGAAACGGAGTGAATCCTTCCTAATGAACGTCCAATTTTCCTTGGCTTCCACAACCTATCATTAGGTTTCCAAACAAACTTTGTAGGAAATTCAAAATATGTAAGTT